GAACTCAAGATCCTTTTGCCTTTGCTTCCCAAGTCCTGGGATTATAGGTGCTTTAAGAATATGAAAGGAAGCTGGGCGTGGTGGCGCACGCCTTTAATCCCAGCACTTGGGAGGCAGAGGCAGGGGGATCTCTGAAATCAAGGCCAGCCTGTTCTACATAGCAAGGTCCAGGCCAGCTGGGGCTACAGGGAGACCTTGTCTCAAAATACAAGAATATGGAAGGAAAAAGTAAAGCAGATGATGCTAATAATAAACAGCTGTTTCTCCTTGTTAGCTACCTTGGACAGTTTAGAGTGTTGCTGATTTCCTGGGTAGCCATGGAAATGTGTTTGGTCACCTAGCAACAGAAGCTGGAAAGGATGCCAGCTCTGATGCAACAGTGAGTAAGAACCCACACAGTTATAACAAATGGTGTTTGACATTGTATTGCATTCCCTTAATTTCCATTTATAATCTTAGCTTTAATTTTTACTATGTGCAGCCAGATATAAACTGAAATATTTCCTGTGTTCCTCAGTGGTTTAAACTGAAACATTAGAGTGGTAGAAGGGAAATCAGAAAAAAATGCATTGTTTATTCAGTTACTTTCTAAGGCTAGGAGGTAAGCTATACAGCTTCGGTATAATTAAAGATACTCCAACTGTAAGAGCTGTTCTACTTTTCTTACCATAAAGTAGTGACCTTACTAAAGGAAATAGAGATGTGAAGGGTGTCCTTGTAAAACTTTGTAGCATTGTTTAAAGTTTTCTAGGAAATCAACATTTTTAATATATATTAAGGAGATTATTCAAGGAATTCCATTGTTTGAGCGTATCTGTCAGTGATTAATAATTAAAATTGTGTCAGCATGTGAGACATGGTTCTCTATACCTGTAATCTCAGCACTTGTGAGGCAGAGAGAAGGGGATCAGGAGTTCAAGATCAATCCCTACTACATAGTGTTTGAGGCCAGCCTGAAATATATGAGACTATTTCAAAAAACAAACAAGCTGATGATACATATTACCAAATAAAATTATCTTTGAAGGCATATTTTCCATGATTGTTTACTTTCTTTCCTGGGGAATTAAATACCTAATGATAGATGAGTAGGAGGTTGATAAGGTTGAGGAATAATCATTAAATGATTATTTGGTTTGGGTGTTTGGGTTGAGTGATGTTAACACATTAGTGAGGGACATGTCTTGGTCTCAATGATTCTTGCTATTTCTGTGTACTTACACATTTAGAGAATTATCAGCAGATTCCTGGGTTTGTAGTAAGTTATGCCATTAAAGACCCATTATTTTATTCAATTAAATGGCCTTTTGGGGAGTAAAATATCCCTTCACTCTCTGGGTTTCTAGTCACATACAGAAGAGGATCAAAATACCACCCTACTCCAGTGTTCTAATTGTAGACAACACAAAATATAATAATTTACTTTGCTTAAAACTAAGTATCAGTGAGCTGCCATGAATTAACTCTCAAATGAAGAATCTGATGAGCAGAATTCAAGAACCTTATACAGGAGCTGGAGAGATGGCTCAGCGGTTAAGGGCATTGACTGCTCTTGCAGAGGACTTGTGTTCAATTCCAGCTAACAGTCTATAGCTCCAGTTCCAGGGAATCTAGCACCCTCTTTGGACCGTCATGGGCATTGCATGACATCAATGCACTTGTATAAATGCAGACTACATTCATACACATAAAATAAAAATAATAAACAAAATATTTCTTAAAAAGGAACCTTATAGGGCTGGAGAGATAGCTCAGCAGTTAAGAACACTATCTGTTCTTGCAGAAGACCTGGCCTCGAATCCCAGCACCCACATGGCAGCTAACAACTGTCCATAGCTCCAGTTCCAGGGGATCCCATGGCCTCTTCTGTCCTCTGTGGGCATCACACGACATGGGTGCACTTACATGCACGCAGTACACCCATAGGCATAAAATAATAAAATTTTTTTAAAAAGAACCTTATTCAAGCAATTGTAGTTCTTTAGTGCTGTGGAGCAATCTGTATGTGCATTGTTTTAGCATTTAGTTTATTTGTATTATTTCCATTGGTTAGGGTTAAGTACTACTATTATCTATTAAAAAATAATGATGCTCATGAGGCCCCACCCCTTAGCTTTGGAGCTTTTGGTAGTTAATGGCTGCTGGAGGAGGAGGAGTCATTTTTCTTGACTACTGAGTTGCCCATGCTCCAGTAAATAACACCACACCCATGTTTGCAACCCTAATTAAGCTCATGGATCATTAAGGGAAAAAAGAAGACGAGAGAGAGGGTAGTGGGGAGTGAGTACTATAAAAATACTGTGTACATATATGAATTTTCAAAGAGATAAAACTTAAATAAGGAAATTCTTAGAAAATAAAAATTTGTATTTAGAACAATACTGTTTTATTATTTTTGTTTTGTCTGAGCAATTCCAGATTTTGATTTATTTATGCTTCTGACTGGATACCTAAAAACAGAAGATTACTGTGGGACAGAAAAGTGTGCTCAGTTTTGGAGAGGAATACTGTCTTGGTGATTGTAAATAGTAGGTTGTTTGCAGTTGCTATTGCAGGTTACTTCCTACCTGTTTTTGAATGTCTGTGAACTAGTATCATGTTGGCTAGGACTGTATTTAAGCAATGGTTACCTAGGATTGTAATTTCAGTTACATCTAAATGCTCTTGTCTCATTGGGTTTATGTGCTTGTTTTTTCTTTATTAAGCAGTTTTAAGCTTGTTATGGGTTAGTGCCTATGCAAGATAAATGCAGAAGTGAATTGGGCAGAGAAAATTTTGAGACTTTGGTACAGATTTACCCCCCCTTTACTTCACTCTTGATATAAGTCTGTCAGTAACACATTAGTTTTTCTTCGTCTGAGAGTATCTTTACCTCATCTTCGTTTCTAAAGGATATTTTTACTGAGTATAGAATTCTGGAAATAATGACTTTTTCTTTTGGTACTAGAAAAATATTCTCTCTGAACTCCATGGTTTCTTTTGAGAAATCTGTAACCTTTGGTTTCATAGTCCCTCTATAAGTAATAGACCACTTTTCTTTTGAATCTGTATGTGTGTGTGTGTGTGTGTCTGTCTGTCTGTCTGTCTCTTTTTCTCTGTGTGTACGTACATGTATGGAGGTCAGATGACAACCTCAAGTGTCCTCACCTGCCTTGTTTGAGCCAGGGTCTCTTCTTCCCTGCTGGGTATGCCAGCCTGGCTTCCAGAGATTTACCTGTGCCTCCCATCTTGCCACAGGAGTGATTATAGGTACATGCTACTGTGTCCAGTGTTCAGTGTTGTGGGGATCTGAACTAAGGTCTTTGACCCACTGAACCATCTTCCCACCCAATAGGCCGTTTTTTTCTGGCAGTTTGCCTTTTTTGTTTTGGGTTGTGTTAGTTCATTTTGCTATGTTTTTAGGTTTCAGCATTTTGATTGAGGCACTGGAGTGCCTTCTTTGAGCTTATTTTTGGAGTTCCCTAAGCTGCTTGTATCTGTGGGTTTATTCTTGGGCAACTTTCTCCCCTCCTTTGGTTCTCTAATGACACATTAGCTCTTTTGCTATCTTCTCAGTTGTTGAGGCTCTGCTCATTTGTGTATTTTATAATTTTTTTTTCTGTTGATCAAGTTTGGTTAATTTCTATAGATATTTGCTGCCTTATTGCACTGCCACTTTGGATCTGTTTTTCAGTATACCCAATGAGTTTATTTTGGTTAGTGTCTTCTATTTCTTCACTACATGTCTCTATTATTTAAGAGTATTGTTTGCCCTCTTGGGCTAGTGATAGCTTAGTGGGTAAAGGCACCTGCTGCAGAGCCTCACAACCTGAGTTTGATTCCCAGGACCCACATGGTGGGAGAGAATAGACTCCTATGAATTTTTCTTTGACTTCCACACAGGTGCTGTAGTATGTACATACCCTCCTTGACACACAGAAATAAGTAGAATAAAAAAATTAATATTTTAATATTTTTCTGTGTATGAGTATATTGCCTGCATGTACGTAAGTGCACCTGTGTCATGCAGTGCCTGCAGAGGTCAGAAGAGGGCACCAGATCCCCTGAATTAGAGTTACAGACAGTTGTCAGTTGCCATATGGGTGCTAGGAATTGAACCCGGGTCTTCTACAAGAGCAGCCAGTGCTCTTAACCACTGAGCCATCTCTCTAGCCCCAAAAAGGTTTTTTTAAAAAAATTTTCCCTTATTGCAGAGTGGCTTTGTAATAACAACTCTGATGTCTTTGATTTCAGTTCTGTGCCGTTTTTGCCTTGGTGTCTGTTACTGTGTTTCCTGTGCAAGTTGAGCTTTCCTTGTTTTTTTGTATGGCAGATAATTTTGCATTGTAGCCTGAACATGCTGACTTCCAGTCTTCAATGGGTTGCAGTTTCAATGTCAGACATGCTTCATATGTGTTTGAGTGTAGTACCCAGGAGCCAGTCTACCCTAGTTTAGTTTTCAAAGTCTGTAGTATGCTGTGTAGAGTCAGAACTGTGTATGCATAGTTGAAGTGTAAACCTAGCAATACAGATTGCTCTCTTTACTACCTGGCCATCCCCTCTCTCCTTCACCCCCAGTCTCAGGACTGTAGTTGTTGGGGTGTGTGTGGTTCATTTAGCAATCCTATGTTGGTAGGTATATGTGTTTCTATCCTTTACAATACAGGCAGTACTATATTGAGTGTTTTTACTAGTTACTACAGCGTGATTCTGAAATCGTTGTAATATAATGCCTAGAAATTGGTTTATTGATGTTTTTTTAGTTTCATAGAAATAGGTATACAGAAAATATTTTTCCAAATTCTCTAAAAATGTATGTATTTATTCTTCTAGCAATAATCCCCAAGTGTGACAAGATTTAGAAAGAGGCACTAGGAAAAATTTTCAGTGATGGTATGTAGATAAATTGAATTGGGTACTTATTGAGAATATTGAAGTGAAAAGTGACTTTTCTTTCTCATGGGAGGAGTGAAAAAAAACACCTACCTATTCATGATTCCTTTTTTCTTTTTTACTCCCAGAATTTTGATTCTGACATTAGCAGTGTGGGAATAGATGGCTGCTGGCAGGCAGACAGCCAACGACTTCTCAATGAGGTGATGGTGGAACACTTCTTCCGACAGGGAATGCTGGATGTAGCGGAGGAGCTCTGCCAGGTAACTCATGTGCCAACCAGGCATATAAGAAGGCAAACATCAGAGTTTACATCATCTGCAGAGTGGGGCTTTATCTTCTGCAAGCTGTCGATTTTAATTACCACGTATGACCTCATTTTGCTAAGAAATTTTTTAAGTGCTTAGAAATTATGATCCTGAAATTTAATGCCTGAATTGTTCTTTCCTTAAGAAATTACAGTCCTGGGCTGGAGAGATGGCTCAGAGATTTAAGAGCATTGACTGCTCTTGCAGAGGACCGGAGTTCGATTCCCAGCATCCACATGGTGGTTAACAACCATCTGTAACTCCTGTTCCAGCGGATCTGACTCTTTCTTCTGACATCCACGGACATTGCACAACATGGGTGTACTTAACTCACATCCAGGCAATACCATACACATAAAATAAAAATAAAATAAAATAAATTAGTCCCAAAGTTTAATATCCAAATTGTTCTTTCTTTATTCTGTGTCTGGTAGGCTAGTCCCAGCTCAGGAATCAAAGGTGTCAAAAGAGATATTACTTTTCCTATTTTCCTTTTGATTTTTTGAGACCATGTCTTACTATGTAGCCCAGGCTGGCCTTGACCCCCTCTTTTCCCCCAGTGTTGCAGTTACAGACAGATACCAACATGCCTGCCTCCTGTTTCCTCTTTCAAAAGGGAAGTTTAATAGAGCAGAGAAGGGGAAAAATTAAAAAATGTTGGTTTTAATTTTTTTTTAGAAAAGACAGGGTCTCCCTATAGCCCCAGCTGGCCTGGAACTCATTATGTAGACCAGGCTGTCCTCAGTCTCAGAGAGATCCACCTGCTTCTGCCTCCAGAGGTAAAGGTGTGCGCCACTAGGCCTAGCTTGGTGTTTTTTTTTTCCTATTAACACAGCCTAAGTTGATTTATCAAATGAATTTCAAACTAAACTTTACCTGAGGCAAGCAGGAGCTATATTAGACAGGAGCACCATGTCATAGTAGCAGCCACCCTGTACTATGTGCTTGCCCCAAGACACACCCTCCTCTTAATGTCTTTCTGCAACACGTGAAGTAGAAATTGTTACTATTCTGCAGATGAGAAGTGTGAGGTCTGGAGAAATAAGGAATGTGCCCAAGGCCATATAGAGTTCTTTTTTTAAAAAAGTATTTTATTTATTGTTTTTATTTTATGTGTATGAGTGTATTGCCTGTATGCATGTGAGTTCACCCATGTTGTGCAGTGCCGTGGAGGTCAGAAGAGGGCTTTGGATTCCCCTGGAACTGGAGTTAAGGATGATTCATAGCCGCCATGTGGGTGCTGGGAATTGAACCCAGGTCCTCTGCAAGAGCAGTCAGTGCTGTTACCGCTGAGCCATCTCTCTAGCCCCCATATAGAGTTCTTGTAAAGGAGCTGGGGTTCAGTTCCCTATTCATTTCTCCAATTCTTTTCCATTGCATTTTCTGTTTTAAAAAAATGAACTCAGGATTGAGTAATATGATAATATATAAAATGAGTCTATAAACCAGTCCCCTAATCTAAGCCCTTTCTATTTGAAACACTTATCATTAATGGTCACTTGGGTCTTTCTTTGTACCTTTTGGGATTTTTGTGTGTGTCCATGCAGATCTTACAGTGAATAATATCATTGAGAATTCAAGTAGTAAAGACCCCAAAATAGCAGTGGCTTAATTAAAAATGAAGTTTATTTTTCTTGTGCTGAAAGAAGAGGTAGTAAGATAGGTCCATAGCACATGTGATAGCTGTCCTGGGAAGTTCCTAGAGACTTCCTGTAGTTTGGTGGCGGGGGGCGGGGGGTGTCTTCCCCTCTTCCTGGCTCAGAATAAACAGAAGCCAGACCTCCAGCTACCCTGTTGTATCCCAGGAAAGAGTATGTGCTTGTGTTTCATTGGCCTGAACTTGTACAATCATACCCAGCTTTATTCCGTGGCCCTATCCTCATCTGAAATCTGACAGGAACACAGTGGTAGGGCAATCATCTCTCTCTGCCATAGAAATACATGCTAAAAGGAAATTATCTTTGATAGTTTGCCCAGTATTTTTAATCTAGATCACAGTTTTTACCACTTTGAATGAATGTGCTTTAACTACTACTAACGTATTTTTTGTTTTGCTTTCCTTTCTAGGAATCTGGTCTTTCTGTAGACCCAAGTCAGAAAGAACCATTTGTGGAGTTAAATAGAATATTAGAAGCATTGAAAGTCAGAGTTCTGAGACCTGCTCTGGAGTAAGTTACTCTGTTTTTGTTTTGTTTTGTTGTTGTTTAAGGTATTTTGAGGGAACTCTCAGTAAGAAAATGTAATTATTAAACATATTAGAGATATTTGAGATAAGTTTATCTTACTTTGGGTAGACATTAAAGAAATCAAGGAAGAACTGTTGTATTCTTTTAACCAAGTGAAATATAGAGATGTGCAATGTGAGAAAATGATCAGCCTGTTTAATATACCCGTTGGTTTGAGTTTCCAGGTTTGAAAAGGGTTTCCTGTATCCATGCTGTACCACTACTTTGTGTAGACCAGCATTATACCATTGTTAGGCAGCCTTTAATGTGCTGGTTCTGTGCTATCATTCTAAGAAATTACTTAATTGATTGTTGTGGCTAAGTGATATTCATGAAGAGGACAAGTATTTTTTATGTGTGGAGATCAGAGAACAATTTTTAGAAGTCACTTCTCTCTTCTACTGTGGGTTCTGGGAATTGAACTCAGGTACCCCCAGCCCAGATCTCTGTTCTGGGCTGGGAATGGGTTGCTGTGGATTGAACCCAGGGTTTCCCACTTGCTATTCAAGTGAAAGAGCTCTGCTCTTAATTACTGTTGATTTTAATGATTCACTGTGAACATGTCATTTACTTGAAATTCAGCTGAGTAAGCTTTAGAACAAGGTTGGCAAACTTTTGTATAGAGGGCCAAAAAATAAATATTTTAAGCTTTGCAGGCTACATAGGATTTTTGTCATTTCCTCCTCCTCCCTTCTCCCTCCCCTTTCTATCTTCCCCTCTTTAACAGTGCAAAAAATTCATTCTTAACTGTCTGTCATACAAATAAGGGAGCAAGCTGTTAATTTGTTTGCCTGTGTCATTGTCTCTGCCTCCATTCTAAAATTTTTAATGTGAAGATTACCAGAATATTTATAATAAATAACTCAAAATAAAGAGAAGGAAAGCCTGGCATGGTGGCACATTGCTTTAATCCCAGCACTCAGGAGGCAGAGGCAGGCTGGTCTCTGGGAGTTCCAGGCCAGCCAGGGCTACATAGTGAGACCCTGTTTCAAAAAAGGGGAGGAGGGGGAGGAAAAGAGGGAGGGAGAGGGAGGAGAAAGAAAGGAACTAGGTGAATCTTGGTGTTTTTTTCTTTTTTAATATCTATCATTTTTGTTTTATGTGTATGAGTATATTGCCTACATGTGTGTAAGTGCACCCGTAGCATGCAATGCCCATGAAGGTCAGAAGAAGGCATTGGATCCCCTGGAACTGGAGTTATGAATGGCTGTTAGCCATGTGGATCTGAGAAATGAACCCAGGTCCTCTGCAAGAGCAGCCAGTACTCTTAACCACTGAGTCATCTCTCCAACCTGGAATCGTAGTGTTTTAAACTGAGAAAATTTCAGATCAGTGTTAGTAGTTAGGGAAAAATCCATGTGGCGTTTTTAAACAGATAGATAGATAGATGATAGATAGATAGATAGATAGATAGATAGATAGATAGATAGATAGATAGTGTGTGTGTTTAGTTTTCTATTTTTGATCAGTTTTTAGAAATTTTTACATAGTTCTAAAACTAGCTCAGATGAGTAGGTAGAGAAGTTACTGTGTTAATATGTAAATTACATGATTTCTGTATAAATTATAAGTATGAGATAGATGATCTGTTAAAGCTAAATCTCATTTTAGCTATTTCTTTATAAGTTGCATGTTACCTTTTTGTAGTGTATATGAAGATTGGTTTTGTTTTGTTTGGGGAGATAGGATGTTATTATTTATAACCATGGCTGGCCTTGAGCTTATAATCCTTCTGTCTTTCAAGTGCTAGAATAACAGGTTCAGCATATTTTTTTGTTTTTGTTTTTTTAAGTTGATATTAGATTGTGACACAGCAGATAAATTTAACCAAGTACCTGTAACACCTATTATACAAAATGTGACAACTACTTTTGGATCAAGAAGAGTGAGGAAACCTAAATATAGAAATGTACTGAGTTTCCCAGTTCTGTAATGGTTAGGAACTAGTACTTGGGTTGTTCTTCAAGGTAGGATTCATTTCTCCATTTGTTTTTTAGGATTTTCATCCAACTTGCATTAACTGCTTACTGTGTGACTGTGCTGAGTATTTGAACTGCTTCAGCCTTCAAAGTACTTAAGACTTCCTTTTGGAAAAGGAAATAGAGATGAGGAAACTGGAAACTACCAAAATTTTGAATGAAAGTGCAATCCCTAGGGAAGCCAATTGGTTGTCTTCCTAAAGGTGTTTCAGTATGTTACCCTGGTGGATTTGAAGCAATCTAGGACCTGACTTTCAGCCTTGTGGATCTGGAAAACTGTTTTTCTCTCTTATAAAACATTAAGTACAAGCCGGGTGTGGTGGTGCACGCCTTTAGTCCCAGCACTTGGGAGGCAGAGGCAGGCGGATCTCTGCGAGTTCCAGGCCAGCTGGGGCTGTAGGGAGATCCTGTCTCAAAAAGATAAAAACAAACAAACAAATAAAAACATTAAGAACAAACCTGGCTATTAAAAGCTGTAGTTTACCAGTAGCTCTGAGACTAGCTCATGCTGGGTGGCTCCAAGTGGAAGACTTGGCCTAATCTGAACTTGATGAGTGTGGAATCAGAACAAGAGGAGATTGCTGTAGAAAATGTTAGTCTTAAGCTAAAATATTCTGATGCCATTTTCATCACAGTGTAGATAAGATTATAAATCTGTTCGACAGTTCAAAGTTTATGAGCTTACTCCTTTTCTTTAAATAGACCTGGTTGGTGTGGTTTTGTTTTTGTTTGTGAGCACTGGCTGCTCTTGTGGAGGACCTGGGTTCAGTTACCAGTCCCACATAGTGGCTAACAACCTTCTCTAACTCCAGTTCCAGGGGGATCTCATGCCCTCTTCTGACCTCCGGCATTGCACAACACCGGTATTTTTAAAAAAATCTTCATTTTATATGAAACCTCCATATTATTTGAGTTTTGAGTCATCATCAGTTATCCCAAATAGCTAGTACATGGACCAGACTTTAAAAAAAAAAAAAAATCAAAAGGTGTAGTAAAGTCAAAACTCAGTGAGAGATCTCTGTACTTATCTGCAAGTCACTCAGTCTCTCACTACCCAGATAGTCATCATTAGCTTTTTCTTGTTCATCCACCTGGGGATATGTTTTCAAAGTTATATGTATTACATTTATGTATATTTTTGTACAAATAGTTATACACTGTTCTGCATCTTTTTTTTACTTGAAAAAATTGAAATGCTTACCTGTACTGTAATATACAAAGCTATTTCAGTTTTTGTAGTGATTGCTTCATATTTGTTTGAGAATTTATACATCAATTTTATTTACTCAGTTTGTATTGATAGACACTTGGCAATTTCCAGCATTTTGCTTAATAAGCAGCATGACGGTGACTATTGTACATTATTTTGAGCATGCCTGTCCGTGTCTGTAGGCTGCTTTCCTTAGAACATTTTGCCAAGTTTTTCTCTAGATTGTTTCAAAATATAATCAGCCATAGATATCGAGTCGCTTCATATCCTTGTTGTCATAATTGATTTTCCTTTTATTAAAAAAAAATCTTTGAGGCTGGAGAGATGGCTTATCAGTTAAGAACACTGGCTGCTCTTGCAGAGGACCCAGATTTGATTCCCGGCACCCACATGGTGGTTAACACTGTCTGTAACTCCAGTTTCAGGGGATCTGACGTCTTCTTCTGACCTCCACAGGCATCGCACGACACGGATGAACTTATGTACATGCAGGCAATGCATTCATACACATAAAGTTAAAAAAAATGTGTAGGAGAACAGTATCTCTTGTATTCAATTTGCATTTGTCTTAAGATTTCTTCTCATGTGTTCATTCTTGCAAAGGTTTAGACATTGGTCTGCATTAGTAGTCCCTTGACTCTGGGGAGCATCTTAAGGCAGAAGGGTCACTACTGATACATATGACCATCTTAGACCATAAAATTGTTAACAAGGGCCTATGAGGGCATTTCACCACTGCCTCTGGTAGTACAAAACCTTCAATGAAATATCCTGAGGAACAAAAAACCCCTGAACGATAATGAGAAAGAAGAGAGAAAAGTTAAAGAATTTTTCACACAGTAGGAAAATTTCTTTGTCTTGGTTTAGACCACAGAAGGGCTTCAGATGGGACAGGCCATTAACAGTACCAGACAGGCTACTATAATATGGGTAGACTCCATCTCTAATGCTACAAACTAGGTGGGGGTAGAAAGAAAAACAGAAAACAGAAGTGCCTGATGATCAGAGCCTTGACTCACTGGAGCTGAGGGTAGCAATGGGGTCTGTTTCTTGTTCTTAGCTTCTTGTTCTTATAGGAGACAGTCTTTATGCTGCAGGTACTTTGCAATAACCACAGACAGTAGAGGAAACAAGGCTCTCACGGGGGGACAATGGAGGAGGGCAACCAAGGGTTAAAAAGTTGGATTTTTTATTTTCTCTAGAGTTTGATTTCTTTTTCCCCAATTAATTGGCCTTAATTCTGAGAAGACAGAAAAAGAGCTGATCCATTTTTAATTCATTTTGTCTATGTACTATGTCTGATGGAGAAAGGTTAGCTCAAAGAGAAGCTAATTAAAAATAGAGTGGGGCATGTGGTGCATGCCTGTAATCCCAGCACTTGAGGTGGAAGATCAGGAATTCAGGGTCATCCAGGGAGTTCCAGGCCACCTATAAACAATATAAAGAGGTGTCCAGTGATAGGGCTATAGAAAAGCAGATCTTATAATGGAATAGAGAGGCCAGAAGATGAGAAGAAAAAAAAATTGGAGTGATGGCACTCCCTTCTGTTCTCTATTTAAAATTTACTGCTGATGAAAATTTATAGGAAGTTCCAAGACTGTAGATACTCTACAGGAACAAAAATAGATGTTTAACTATAGCCTCATTGAGGACTTGAGCAGTATTGGAGCTGAGTGGGCAAGCCATTAGTGTTATGTTTTCCCTGACATTGTTTGAAAAGTATAAGGAGCTAATGGGCCAGCTAAATGTGGCAAAACGCACAGGATGAAGAAGAATGCTGGCATTTGTGCTTGGGAGCTGCTACTCTTTTCATTAAGCTTGAAAAGCCTTTTGGTTTTTGTGGTAGGGAGACAGCTGTAATTAAGGCACTGTCGTATTTAAGTACTTAAATCACTAATCTGTACAGCTATGCTGTCCAATTTAACGACCAATTGCCATGACTATTTGTGACACATAGATACTGCACTCTCTTACTAAGATCTATGTTTCTGAGAACCTCATGTAAAGTTGAATATATATGTTATTATGTTTTGATGAGACAGGGTCTCGTGTAGCTCAGCCTGGTCCCAGACTGCTATGTCGCTGAGACTGAGACTGGCCTTGAACTCCTTATTGTCCTGCCTCCATCCCCAAATGCTGCAGTTAACTACCAACTCCTCTGTGTTTTAAGTAGATTTACATGTGTAATACTCTAGTCCCTGTCCCCTTGCCCACACCCCCCATTGTGTTTTTAATTTTTGGAAACGGTTTCATTGTGTAACCCATTGCTGGCCTTAAACCCATGATCTTTCTGCCTCTACCTTCTGAGTGCTGGGATTATAGGCATGTACCATTCATTACACATGGCTCTGAATGGCTTTTTCTTTTTTTAAGTATTAATTTTTTTTTTTTTTTTTTTTTTTTTTTTAGAACAAGGGTCCCTCTGGACCCACCCG